CCTCGGCCCTCTCGCCATCGCCATCGGGCGCGTGTCCCCCGCGTCCTCTCCTGGGGAGGCCCACCCGCCAGGGCGGCCCTGCTTCGACCCAGCGCTCCCTGCCCCGCCCTGCCCCGCCCCCGCACCGCTATCAGGCCAGCGAGCTCGGCTCCCTCGCTCCCCGGCCGCCCCCCTGCCACAGCCTGGCCCTCCCGCTGGCTGGGGGCGCGGCCGCCTGCGAGAAGCGCGCGCTATCGGGCTCCCCAGGGCCACGGAAACACCAGGGTTTTTTTTTTTCTTGAATTATGGGAATCTTAGGATACAGAAAAAAAAAAACAACTTTCGCACAGTGCACTGGGACACACTAAGAGGAGCGCGATCCGCGGCTACCGGCCCTGGCCCAGGAAGGCTCCGAGGCTGTTTCCATAACTTGCCCCGGCCAGTGGGGGCAACGCCGCCCTCGGTCTGCAGCCCAGCGCCTCTGGCCAAGGACACAACGCAGCCCAGCGGCAGACAGCCCGGCCCGCCCCCCGGGGCCTGCGGGGCTGTGCACCTGCTCCCCAGGGGGACGGCGGCTCTGCACGCCCGCGGCCCGCCGGGCGGGAGCCCCCTGGGTTTCGTGGCAGGGTGGGCGCTTCCCAGGACTTAGCTCCCATGTGAGCTTGGGGGCTGCGGACGGTGGCTGGCAGGGGTTCGCCTGGCCGACCCCAGGCAGAAGCAGCCCTGAACAGGCTGAGGAGGGAATCGGTGTCACCGCCGCTTCAGACGCGACCCAGGAGCCAGCCACGCAGCCACTGGGCAAGAAGCGCCGGGCTCCCCGGGCCGGTGCACCGTCAGGGAGTGGAGGGCCCTGGGCCTGCGGAGGGGGGGCCTGCCGGACCCCGGGGGTCAAGCGCATTCCAGGTGCAGGTGGAGCTGTGTTTGGGTCTGAGCGAGGGGAAACAGCTCCCGAGGTGAAGCAGCTCCCGGAGCCAGGCTGGAACCTACCCCTGGGCAGAGGGGTCCACCCCAGGAGGAGCCACTGAGTGCAAACACGTGAGTGCAGGGACAGGACCCTGGGGATGGGCACGGGGCAGCTGCAGAGACAGTGCTGGCCCTGCCACCCGCCAGCCACTGGCCCCCAGTCCCGGGCCGCCTCGCCACCAGTTCTGCTGGGCCCCAAGGTCGCTCCCCACCCGGGCTGCTCCCTGGGTCCCCCAACGCCGGCATCGGGTCTGTTCTCCGCGGGCGGGAGGCAGGGGGTGCCCCGGGGCTAGGGTTCGTCAGGGACAGGCTGGGTTCCGAGGTGGCTGCAGTGCGCGCGCGGCTCAGGCCCCTGGATTCAAGTCAGCGTTGGTGGGAGAAGCGGGCCGGAGGGCTGCCGAGCTCGGGCGGGCATGTGCGGGGCACGAGTGCGCGGGCCTGCGCGTGACGGGGGCGACAGAAAAGACGAGGAAAAGGCACCAGCACGCGGGCCTCGCCCAAGTCCCACTGCTCCTCCGGGGCCCGGGTGCGCGCCAGGGGGGCCCCGGCCCAGCTCTCC